TCTGGAGTTTATCTGAGCTTGCCTCCGCATAATTTCACATAACTTTTAATTACATCAGGTCGTTTTGTGTGGTTTTCGTCAAACCTTTTTTATTACTTTTCTTACTTGATGTCTAACCTCCCTTTTTATTTTTATTTTTTCGTTTCACCCTTCCCATATCAATGAATCGCATTCACTCCTCTCGAACATTGCAAAATGTAGCAGAGTTTACGATATTAATTTATGGTTGATCTTTTCCTTCCGCACAGGATAGAAGGGAGGTGCTTAAATTTTTCCAAGTTGCCTCTGAAAGAGAAATTATAAACGTAAGCTGGTTATTTTGAAATTCTTGAATACTCGTTGTTATTTAAAACAATTGAGTTAAAACACCTTAGGCAATGTAACTGCATTTTTTTAGCATTGCAATAGCAGTTTCTTGTTAACATAATATAATAATTGGACTACGGTGGTTAGTTTCCCCCTAAGGTGTGGGTAGGCAATTTTTTAGGAGATTCCATGCCAATCATAAGAGAGTGAAGGTCATTTGGTGAGTATTTTTCTGAAAGAAATTTGTCCATTGCAGTGCGTTAGTGATGTGCAATGTTAGAATACTAGTTGGCTTACAGTGTATGGTCACTATCTGCAATGCTCTTCTAATTCCCTTAAGCGGTATCCATCTCTTGGCGAGACTCTGGCGCACAATATCGTTCTCAGACGTCAAAATGTTTCATTAAAACGTCTCAGCGATATTTGGAATTTGACGGCGGTTCAAAAGGTACTGCTTTCAGGCTGTGGTACCGTTGTTGATGACAGTATCGTGTAAGTTTCTTTGTTTATAAACGCATCAGATACTTCTTTTAATGCTCATACGAATGTTTTGTGGGCCTCCATGCCACACTGAATTGACATCTTTTCACTTGGTTAAACAGAACCCTCAGGGGTAGAGGGTAAGGTAATTAATGTATTTATAATTATGAATGATTATTATGTCGTGGACTTGAAACGCCAAAATAGTAGTCAAGGTAGCCCTATACGTAGGCTTATGCTCCAGACGTTGCCTTCATTCATATGTCTCATCTCTGCGATTGAATGTCTTTTCTCAACTTGAGTCATGGATTAAATGGGTTTTTTGTTGCCCTGCTTTGTTTCATCCCTTCACTGCTTTTCCTTTCTCTTGTCTCAGTTACAGGAGTGTGAACTATGCTGTATCATCCCACCCATTGATAGTAACATAGACTCAGTGGTAATGCTTGTCGTAATGGGACACACTTGACAATCAGCATTGTATGTTGCGCCGTCGTTGATCCTTTATGATGGATTTGCGTGGGTGTAGACTTGTGACTCGCGGTTTCCTGTCGTCTTCGCTCGTATATTCTCCCATGAAATTGTATTCCTTATGGTGCTTAAAAATCGCGCAACTTTTCAATGAGTTTGAAATGACTTGAAAGATGCAATGGATTTTTGGACTTTAGGGATGAGCAAGAAATAAATGAGCATAACCATCGATCCTTCTCAGTGCCGCGATGCACATCATCTATTCCAGTGAGCACACACCTCCCATCAGCACCTCCATTACCGCCTTTGCCACCAGCAGACTACAATGTTGGGGAACTCTTCCGGGTCCTCAATGATATGGGGTTGGTTGCAAGGTGGACAAAGTATGTCAATGACCCGGATATCCTCACCACCGGTGATGTCTTGCCCTCCAACACCTATCGACTGGCCACATGGAACCTGGATCGTTTCACCTTGGCAAAGGCCAAACACTCCGGATTTCGAGAAGCCATTTGTTTGACCATTCTTTCCAATCAATTTGATCTCGTCGCCTTTCAGGAAGTCGTTGAACCAGATGCCGTTCAGTTGGTAAACGCAAACTGTGGTTTCTGCTTATTTTATTTAAGTAAAATGTTTAATTTTTATGTCTTAGTTGGTGGACGAGTTGAATACGCCTGTGCTGCCTATGGTAAAGCGATGGATTTCAGCGAATCAAACCAAATATGGCTCCTACACAGCGTTTTCATCAAGTGACAAAACAGGACGAACATTTCAGGCTGTGGAGTATTCTTCAATTCTTTATCGTTCCGATCGTTTACAAGCTATCTCCTCGCGTCTTCTCCCTGCCAATGGAAGATTCTCTCGCATGCCTTTTATGAGCAAGTTTAAGGTTCGTTCGTTGTTGAGGTGTTTTCCGTGTTTTGGTTACTTTCAAGAAGAAACGCAGTTAACTACACATCTTACTTTCCGCGAGCAAACTTTTGTTCCCCTGCATTTGGTATTCTTCCCTTCAGTTGGTTCGTTATGTGGTGCACTTCATTTGCAGCTGAGATCAAGCATCCTTATGCTCACCTCAGTTCATCTTCGAGCTCCGGGCTTGGATGACACGCACTTAGCGAAGAATGCCGAGGAGGTCGCCTCTCTTGCTGACTTTGTCGACGCGATGAAAGACACTCTTTCGGGTGAGGGTGATTGTTTTTTTTTGACTGGAAGCATTGGTTTGTCCCTCTCTGCACCGTCAAATCTCATCATTTTATTATAGACAAAATCTACTATGTCATATTGGGCGATTTTAACATGGATCCTGGCAACAAGGGTGAGTTAAACATTGCCGATTCTACGCTGTTTTTTTTTCACAAATTTCCCCTCCATCTGTTATTAAGGGGGAAAAAGACGAGTATCCCTTCATTGGTGGTCTCTCCGTCACTTTGTGTAAATTCTATGATTGTTTTTCGTCGTTTGCCAATAAGATTTCTTCGCTAAGCAACTATTACTTCGAGAACGTTCTTTTTTTTTCTTAACTGAAGGAAGCAATTTTTGCTGTAATTTACGACGTTTTCTACTGGTGTCACATGTGACGCCCTTCCTGATTCCCCTCTATGAATTTGGTGCGGTAATCCTTTTTGGCTTCTGACCAGCAGTTTAATTGGTCTGGTAAATTAATGTCAGTTGATGTCACGTCGTAAAGTGTGTTTATTGAGTCATGTCAGTAGATTTCTCGGTGCGATTAACCAAAAACTGTATTTTCAGTTGCACTAATACGGACTAAAATGGCGAAGGTGAAAAAGTCGGCCTCTTTTAACGGGCTCTTGTCGGTTACCGACAGTTAAATTCATTGAACACAGTTTGTCTTAACCGGAGGACAGTCCGTGCAACTACCACTACCATCTGCTGTAATGGGGCCATTCTGAATTTCGGATTCTTCACGAGGCAGTGCGATTCAGCACAATTCGGCCTTCCCTCCAGTGGGCATCGCAACAACTCATGCCCTTCACCATCTCGCATATCTTGATTCCTCTCCATATTACTAGTTCAGACGTTTTGCTTTGGCACAACTTTTTTTTTAATAAGGGAAGTATGCGTGAGTGTTTTCGTTGGGTTAAGTCAAACTGTCACTTTGCTCCGCATCACTGTTCATAAGTTGCCTCATTTTCATCGTTACCATTCACTATTTGATGTAGGTGTGAGTAATTATTTAAACACGTAATCCACTTCCTGCTGGCTGCCTTAACTTCATTCGCTTACATCTCATTTTCTTGTCTATCGTCTACTAACTGAGGATCATGAGAATGATGCGAGGTCATCACAGGGTCACAGAAAATCTGTTTACCTGAACAAAGGGTGGGGGGAGGCAGTGAAAAGGGGATCTCTCTTTTTTGGTATTACAATTGGCAAGTCAAAACGCTTTTTTTATTCTCTTGCACTTTCTGCCAGGGAATTTGTCGCTGCAGAAGAATATTTCACCAAT